AGCGGGGGTGGGGTGGGGTGGGGGTGGTGCTCACCTGGAAGCCCAGGCAGCGGCCATAGAAGCAGCCCTTGTGCAGAGTGACGTACTCGCGCAGGAAGTCAGCGGCGAGCCCCTCGTCGCCCTCAAAGAAGAGGCCCCCTGGCTGATTGCTGGTCAGCAGGCGCTGGGCACAGTAGGTCAGGGCGCGGAGCTGGGTGAGGGTGGCCAAGTAGGCCTCGAGTTCAGCCAGGTTGTGGCTGGTACGGAAGAAGATGCTGCGGCGGTTGGAGGCCACGTAGCGGGATTTGTGCAGCAGGTGCGCCAGGCAGCAGCGGGCCGTGTGCACCAGGCTGCGGTACCCATTGGCCGGCGTCTCTGCGTCCAGGTCAAAGAGGTGCGCCACGCCCAGCAGGTGGCCCAGGGCTGGCTCCAGCGCCAACGCCTGCTCGCGAACACCCGTAAAGACGCCCAACAGCCGCCGTGCTGTCTCCCCAGGTCCTTGGCTCGAGAAGAAGGCCATGTTGTCTTCTGCCAGAGTCACCAGCGTCTGTGTCATGGTGCGCAGGTCCATGGTGTGCAAGAGCATGGGGGCTACAGGCGGAGGAGCGGCTCGTTAGGCAGGGCCGGTCACCCCTCGCTCCGCGGGGGCCCTGGGTTCCGGTCCGGCTCTATCCCCCTCCTCCCTCAGACCCAAGCGTCAGAACCCAGCCTCCTCCTCCAGACCCAGGAGTGGAGTCTAGGGCCCCCACCCCCTTCCTTAGAACCCCCAAGTTCAGGTACTCAGGCCCTTTCTCCCTCCTCAGGAGCTAGGAGTTTGACCGCTCAGCCCGTCCTCCCTCAGACCCAGGAGTCCAGGCCCAGCCCCTCCTCTCAGGCTCCGGGAGGCCCTGTTCTCTCCTCTCCAGAACCTCGGCACTTCAGCATCTCTCGGACACCCAGAAGTCTTCCTACCCCGCTTTCTATCTCTCTGGCACCCGAGAGTTCAGGCATCTGTCTCCATTTCCTCTCCTGTGCCCAGGACTCCTTCTAGGTTCTGGGAAGTCTGGACCCCAGTTGGTCCCCTCTCTCAGGACCCAGGTGTCACCCACAGGCTCTTCCCCTCGATCAATGTTTGGGAGAGTTCAGTTGTCAGCCCACCCGTTCCCATCTACCTGGTGGTGTCCCAGGACCTTGATCCCAAGCTCAATTCTCTTCCCGAACCCAGGAGTTCATCTTTCTAGCCTTACTTAAATCTGAAGAGTCACTCTTGCCCCTTCCTTGCCCCTCAAGTCTGGCTGTGGAACTCCCTCCAAACTCCAGCTGCCTCCCTTTTCCTCTGTGGGGATCCCAAAACTTGGTCCTACTCCTCCCCCAAATGGGTCTTCTGGCCTGGAACAGCAGGACTCATAGTCATTGCTGCCATGGACCTTGAGCTCACTCTGTGCCAGTGTCTGAGACTCAGACTGCCTCTGTTCTCGTCTCGGCTGTTAGTGGTAGGTAGCATTCCGTTTTACAGGAGAGGAGACTGAGGCGAAGAGGTGTTAAGTAAGGAGCTGAAGGTTGCACTGAAAGAGGCAGAGCAGAATTCAGATCCAGATCTCTGGGTCCAGAGCTGTGTCTCCCTCCTGGGCCTCTGGCTCTGACCCTCAAAAACTTGCCCTAGACTAGGCCTGACTCCCCACGCTCCGGGGTCCCCCTTGGTGGGGATGCTGCCCTCTGCTCCAGAGACTCTTCCCTCCTGCGGCACCCCCAGCACCTTGCTTGGCTCCTGGGTGATGGCCTCCTGCTCCTCCAGGTGTCTCCTCTGCCTTCTAGGCCCTGAGAGGTTTGGCAGCAGCGAGTCCCCCTTCTCAGCTGGCCCTGCACTCACCCCTCCAGGCCTCTTCGGAGCTTCCCCCAGGCTGGGACTGCTGGACTGTAACTGTGGCGGTGCCAGTAAAACCCTGGGGCGATAAACTGGGGGGAGGGGCCCAGCCTGTCCAGGGTGTGGCCACCATTCTGCCTCCCATGCACAAGGGACAGTGAGGACCGCATGCTGTTAATAAAGTACGGAGTCCAACTCCCTGCCCCGCTGCCTGTTCCTAGCTCCAGCTCAACTGGGAGTCCTTGTCCCAGGCCCCTCTCGCTTAGAACCCAGGGGTCCCCAACCCCTTCCTCCTTCTGACTCAGGAGTCCAGGCCCCCAGCCCCTCCTCCCTTGGACCCACGAGTCTCAGCCCCAGCCCTGAACAAACTGTCCCCTCTCACCCAGCCAGGCTGCCCCTGGCACAGCCGGCTACAGCTGTTAGGGGGAGAGAGGGTAGCCAGCCTTGCCTGTCCCTCCTGGGAGGACAAAAGCCGATTAAGGGCAGTACCAAGCTCAGCTAGGCTTCTGAGCCACAGGTCCTACTGTGTGGTGTTCCCACACTGGGCACCCTGCACCTGCCATTTACCCTTCACAGCCCGTCCTGCTGTGCCTGTCCTCCACACCTCACATATGGGAAAGCGAGACACTTCACCCATGTTAGTCCATGTGCTCCTTGCCTGGCCAGCTCTTTCCCACCCTTCAGGCCTCAGCGTGCCACCTCCTGGAAGAGGCATTCTGTGACTGCGCCTCCCCGCTGGGGGGACGCCCTGCCCCCAGCACTATCTTCTGCCATCATATTTAAGTTGTTCTTCCTAGGATTTTACACATTTGCAAGTATACTGTTTGCTTGTTTACATGTTTGTTTGTCTCACCCCGAGGGCGGAACTAGGCTTCACAGAGTTGTGTGGAGGCGGGGCTCTTTGGGAAAAAGAAGTTAAAATCACAAATACAAGATTAAGTTCCGGGCCTTGGAAGGGACCAGTGCAAACAAGAGGCCCTGAGGCCTCAGCGTCATTTGCTTGGTCAGAAGTGAATACTCCTATCTCTCTCCCTTAAATGCCATCCCCATGAGGGCAGGGGTAGCCCCAAGGCCAATCATGGGGCCTAGCACATAGTAGGTTCTCGGTAAATATTTGAAAGAGATGGATGGGAGCTTGGCAGACCTTCCCCAAAGTCAGTGAACAGATGGACAGAGGCCTCTAGAGGCAGCTCTAAGCTTGGCTGTGACAACGGAACACTGGCCCAAGCCGCTTGCCTGGTTTCCTCACCTAGAAACTGTACTTGGCCATCCTGCCCACAGAGGGCAGGGCCGTGCCCAGGTGCCATCTAGGTGGCCTTTCTGCAACTGTTTGCTTGGTGGTTCTCCTGCGGCCTCGGCTGACATGTGTACTGGGTCATTTTTCTCTGGCGCACATCACCACCTAACACACTATACGACTGACTCTTTCTGTGTTTGCTCTGTCTCCCTTACTAGATTATAGGCTGCCCAAGGGCAGGGACTGTGTATGTTTTCTTGCTGTACCCTGACCCTTTGCAGTGCCTGGCACACAGCCAGCATGTGTGGTATTTATTACCTAATGCACTGTGGTTTCCCACTTTCTAAAGCCACTGTAATTTACTTCCTGTCTGTGTGGCAAGGCTCTTTATTGAAGACGAGGACAGAGGAGACCTGGACAGAACAAGTGACTTGTACGAAGTGGTGGGGAAAAGGCTGGATCCCAGGCCCTCATGACTCCAGGACCCTGCCCTTCGCCCTGGTCCAGGCCATTCCCTGGGGACTGGGCAGGGTGGAGCTGGCAGGAAGGGATGTTGAGATTGTTAGAAACTCACCAAAAATCCTAGGCAGAGGACACTGGGGCAGAGGCAGGCTCGCCAGGGCCATGGGCGAGGACTGGGGCAGAGGTAGGGCCGAGGGGTCCTACCGCCTGGCACCAGCTCTTTGCCCTAAAGAGCCACTGTGCAGCTGAACTGGCCTGGGTTTTGGCCCCTGGGGACTGAGCAGGGCAATGAGGAAGTGGGGGTAGGATGGAGGAAGGGCCAGGTCTGGGGTCTGGGAGGAACAAGGGCTTCTGATGGGGAGAGGCTTGGGGGTAGATGCAGGAGTTGGGGGGCAGTGAGTGTGTGCATGAAAGAGCAAACATTGCTGTAACGACCGTGTATGCCAGGCGCTGCTCTGTTTATGTGGAGTAATTCGTTTCATCCTCCCCATGACATATGAGGTAGGAACCATCATCACCCCTTCTGGCAGATAAGAAAACAGATGCAGATAGGTGACATGCTGCCCAGGGTCACAGAGCCAGCGAAGATGGCACCGCTTGTCTCTGCTGTGTTTGTGTGTGTCTCTAAGTGTTGTTCCTTCTCTGTCATATCTCAGCTCTGTGCTTTCTGGGTGGTCAGGTGTGAGTGCATGTACATACATATGTATGTAGGTATGGGTCATCGCCAGTGGTGGTCCTGGCCTGTGTTTGTGGGTGGGCGTGTCAACATTTTTTCTCTGTATGTGCAGTTTTGTTTTTTGGTATGTCTGAAGGCATATTTATATGCATGTGTCATGGCCTGTGTTTCTCAGCCTGTGAGTGTATCCGTGTTTCTAATCTCGGCCTGTGAGATTGTGTGGGCATGTGTATGTCTGAGTAGAGATGGATATACTCATATTTCGTATTTGTGCATTCTTGGTCTGTGTGTGTATGTGTGTGTGTAATATAAGCATCTCTCCTTATTTGCTCAAGCCAGAATCCAGGGCATCGTCCTGGCCACCTCCTACCCCATCCAATCCATCACGAAGTCCTGTCTACTCTGTCCCCTAGACACTTCAGGAACCTGGTCTTCTCCCCACCCCACTGCACTGTCATCAAGATGACTGTAACAACTCTTTATGTGTCTCTGATTTTGCCCCCTTCAGTCTCTTCTCTGCATAGCAGTTAGGGGATATTTCTAAAACATAAATCTGGTCACATACTCCTAAACCTTCGACTACCCTTGCTCATAGGATAAAGCTCCGAATCCTGGACATGGCCTCCCAAAACCAGAAACCATCTGGGCCCCCTGCCCATCTCCTGTCTTCCACCCCTCCCTTGCTGAATTCCCTGTGCTGTAATGTGCTGCTTCCTTGGGCCTCAAGGCCTCTGCTCATTCTGTTCCCTCGGTCCTCCCTGCCCCCCTTCCCCAGCAGTTGACACTTGCTCATCCTTGGGTCCAATGTCACCTCCTTGGGAAGCTTCTCTCTTACAGTTGAAAGTTCTCTTACAGGTGAGAAAGTTCCCTTTTGTATTTATCACAGTTTATAGTTATATCTGATTGGTAGGATTATCTGTAGGGATTATTGCTCAAATGTGAGTGTGTCTTCACCAGTAAAAGCCCAAGCCTGGGACAAGTGAGTGTTCAGTGAATCTCTGCTGAATGAATCTGTGCAACTAGAGCCTCTTGGGTCCAGCATCAAGGTTGGGCGCACAGCAGTTTCGAACTCCCTGCCCTCAGGTGGCTGGACGCGACCATTTCTCTGCCCTCACTGGCCAGCTAAAGAAGCCCAAGTGACCTTGCTTCCTCAGAGCTTCAGTGTCATCATCTGGTAAATAAGGCGATTGTAATGACACTGGCATCATTAGGTTATTGGAAAGATTGAACTGATGACTAGGATTGCTCCAGCCAGCTCAAATGCCCTAGGGGCAAGGATTGGGTCTGATTCACCCAACTGAAGCCTGGCACCAGGGCGGAGCCTCAGGAAATGACAGGTGAATTTCAGACCTTGTGGGAATGAGCCTTTGTGCGTAGGTGGGCCCCCTGATTTGTGAGGACTTGCTCAACTCTGTTCAGGAAGCCCTGCGCAAGAGGATTCTGATTCCTCACGACAACTAAGCACAGCACTATTATTATTATCCCTGTGTTGCAGTTCACACATTCCTTCACTTATTAATTCAATGAATATTTAAGTGTCCATGTGCCTGGCATACCAGACTCTGGAAATGTGGGGTAAGCAAGGCAGATACAGCCCTACTCTTAGGGAGCTCGCTGTCTAGTGGGGGGTAACTTCCTCTCCTCCTGAAGGCTTGCTGCGTGCAGGTGCCAAACCTTCATTCAAACCTTACAACAACCCTACAAGTCAGGCACCTCTATCATTATGTCCATTTTATAGCTCAGAAAGTTGAGGCAGGAAAGAGAGGGAGCCTGTTGCCCAGTGAACCGTGGGTCATAGCCTGAGGAACCAGGTCTCTAACACCCATGTACTTAACCATGGTCTGTACTGCCTCTGGGCACTCTGTCCTGCTTGTGAGGTAATGAGACAGTGAATGCCCTAGGGCACCAGTCTGAGCCTGTCTGAATCTGTGAGTGTGTCTGGAGCCAACTCCATTGCTATCTTTGGCAGGGACAATGCGTTTGGGGTTCTCTGGGGCCCTGGGGTTTCTTTTCTGTAGAGGAACTTCCCACAGGCCTTAACTTGAGTTGACAAATATTCAAAACTGAGCAGGCCCCTGCCTGAGCCTTGTAGCATCTTTGTAGGGAACCAAGATGACGGCCCTCCCTTCTTCTTCTGAGGATGTGTCAGTCCCCAATCCAGCAACTCCTAGTCCTAGAAGGAGTGGTAGTCAGGAAGTTGGGCCCCAGGGGAGCCAGGCTGAAGCAGGTGGATTGAAAGGAATGGATGAACGGATTTAAAAATGGGAGCACAGATCTGTTTTGAGCTGTACTGGCCCCCTGGCATTACCCATTCTGGGTACCCCTTCCTCCTACCTTTCCCCCGCTCACCCTAAACTTCCTGTTTGTGCAATGGCTTATAAACTTTTTCTTTATCATCCTGTCAGGAGTGCCAGAGACCTGAAAATCGGCGCTAGAAACATTTCTCAGGCGAAAACCACTGAGGGCAGGAGTTACCCACGGACGCAAAGCGTCTGGACTCTCCACCCACAACGGTAGTGGGGCGTCCGGTAGTTTCTATGCTGGGATCATTCCCTTCTCACAATAGATCATCCCCGCACTCCCCCAAAGGGCGGCAATGGGCCAGTTCACGGACTCCCCTACTTCTCGTAGCGGTGGGTCGGTCCGCTCAGTTCCCAGTTCCCTGCAGGATGTTCAAGGTTTCTTCCGGGGTGCCGCCAGCCCCTGCGTGCTCACCTTTGGCCTTGACTTTTCTCCACCGCCGGCGGCTACGACTCTTGGACCCCTCTTTATCCCTCTTCGAGGCCGGGGCTCCACCGGCCCCAGCGGCCCCAGAGGGCCCCGCTCCCGGGGCTGACTCCATCAATTCTCCTGGGTCCCCGTGCAGGGACCAATTCCAGCCTCCAGGCTCCTCCCCGAGGGCCAATCCTGGTTACATACCACTGCCGGGCCCCCATGCCACCCAATCCTGGGCTTGCTCCTCTTCGGGTCCCGCCCCCTGAACAATCCGGGCCTCACTCCACCGCCAGGCCCCGCCCCAAACTCTGGGGCCTAAGGCCTGGCCCCGCCCCCTCGGACGCGTTAAAGCACCCGAGGCCAACAAAAACGCAGCCCTGGTGGCGGCGAAAAGCCTTCTTCAGGCAGGACCCGTTGGGAGTTTCACGGGAGTCACTCTAGCAAGGAAGTCTCAATCTTATCTCACGTGGGTTCGCAGCTTCGCCTCCCCACTCACCTTCCCACGTAGGGAATCCCTAGAATGCGACCCCGCCCGCCCGCTGGAGGGGGCGAGCGGGACGCCGCTGAGCCACCGGTTGGGGGCGAGGGGGGGCCCGGCCCAGGTCCTCTGGCAATTCAAAACCGGGGCGGGGCGCTGCCTGAGCGCCGTTGGAGGAGGGAGCCCCGCCTTCTCCCCGCCCCCTGCGTTGTAGTTTTCTTATTCCTCTCACGCTCGTGGTTCTTTTTTCCTAACCCCGAGAATGAGGAGGGGCAACGGGAATGCTCCGCGCCTGCGCACTAGCCGCGGGCCGGCGGAGGACGCGCGCGCACTCGGGAAAAGGCGGGAAACAGAGGAGGCGCGAGGCTTGCATGTGCGCACACGACCAACTGCTCACGGCGAGGCGGCCTGGCCCCCGGGCGGTGCGGGTAGGGCATCCCTTGAGACTGGGTCCTGGAGGCCTAGAGAAACAGCTCTTCATCTTCAGCCCGGGAAAAAGACCCGGAATCCTCCCTTAACATCCCGCCCCTCCTCCCTGCCCTCCCAAGGCCTACGAGCAGCCCTCACACAGAGAGACACCAATTACCCTCATCTCATGCCTGAGAGAGACGGGCCAGCCCTTCCGGGTGGGACAAGCCTCTGGGCTGGGACTACCACTGCCGGCCCTGAGACTAAGCTACTTCACAGCACCCTCAGCTTCCGGAGTGGGGCTGCATGTCCCTCCGCCCCCGCCCTTCTCGCTACTTCAACAAGTAAACCCCCGTTGCACGGAGAAATCTTGCTGCCGGCTCCCGCCTGACAAAGCTTTGGAACCTAGAGGAGAAGGATGGGAGCTGGAGCCTGCACCCCTGGGCACCACTTCCTGCTTCAGAGGAGGGGAGGGAGTGCTGGCGGCCATCATTCTCCCCTCAACTCACCCTTTCCCTAGCTCCCGACCTTGCCCGGGACTTTGGCGGACCCACAGCCCCTCTCTCAGGCTCCCCCTTCCTGGAAACACGGCTCTCAGGCCCAGCTTGACTGGGGCTCCCCTTGAGGGGGCAACCTGGCCGTGGAGCAAGTGTCCTCCTGCCACTGAGAGCTTACCTGGAGACCTCAAGGACTGCTAACGCTGATTTTGGCCTAGCGGAGGTGGAAACTCCCCGAGGGTAAGGGCCACATTCAGCCTGTGTATCTGGTGTCTAGGGCAGCGTCTGCCCCAGAGCTGTGCTCGGTGGGTTTGGGGACTAATGGATGAATACTAGCAGGAGGGTGGCTTCGCCTGTGTGGCGGCCCCTAACCCAGAGCCCTTTCCCTTCGATTTCCCCCAAATCCTTCATAGGGAAGCAGCCCGGTTCCTGGGAAGAAGTCAGCCTCTGGCTTTGAGCTCCGCCACTCCCTAGTGCCCCCTCAAGCCAGAATCTTTACATTTGAAGGCCTGGGTTTCTTCATCTATCAAATGGGATTGTTGATCTGTGTCTTGCAGGGCTGTTAAGGGATCACCGGAGCTAACCTGACATCCTGGCAGCTTAGTATTTCCTGACTTTATGAATGACCGTCCCTAGGAGGCTCTTGTTCCTCCAGGCTCAACTCACCTGAGTCTGAGTAGTGTCTGTGAGTGTGGCTGCTGGTTTTCTTTCTGGAGGCTGATGTCGCACCATATCCTGACGTTCCAGAACCATGCTTCCACTTGAAGGCCGACTTCATCCTTTGGGCCACCGAATCGGTTTCAGATGGATGCCCTGAATCCGATTCTGAATCAAAATCTGTGACCCACTCAAGAAATGCCTTCCACTCTGAAGCCATCGGTTGCTGTATGGATAGTTCACGCAGTTTTGATAGAAATCCCCACTCATTCAAAGATCCGTGCGAGGATTTGGCTGGAGCTGTTTGCTGGGCTATAGGGTCTGACTGTTCTGGTTTCTCTTGGGACGTAGATTCAGTCCGGGCCAGAGGTGTTACTCCAGCTTCTTGTTGAGCTAGAGGCGGCTCTATGCATCCCTCTTCCAGTTCTGGCTCCTGTTGAGCTCTTGATTCTTTTTCTGGCCCAGGTCCCTGCTGTGAGGCAGCTTCCTGTTGAGTGAGGGACGCCCTTTGTATGGGAGGTGATTGCTGTGGTGCAGGCTCCTGTGGGGCAAGGAGTTCCTGCTGTAAAGCAGATTTTTGTTGGCCTCTCGGTTCCTGCTGGGATTCAGCTTCATGTTGGGCAAGGGGTGCCTGCTGAGTGGGAGGTCTTTGCTGGGAAGCAGGCTCCTGTTGGGTATTAAGTCCCTGCTGAGTCTTAGATGCCTGCTGTTCTGTGAGTATCTTTTCTGGGCCAGGCTCTGGCTGGGTGATAGGTGTCTGGTGTGGCTCAGGTCCCCAGTCAGTCCTAGATAGTGAATTAGAACTTGGCTCCACTGTAGTTATTTCCCTCACGGGAGATGTCGATCTCCCAGGCTTCATACTTCTGGCCACCACACATAGGCCTCTGTCACAAATCCCTTATTGATTCCTCATGATGGCACCTCCCTTTGTGTTTCACTCCTTCATCCTGGCAT